CAAAAAACAAACGACTAACCTGGATCAGTTGCCGAGATGATGGAACCAAACAGAAGACAATCGGCAAACGAGAGCATCTTCGACAGTGAGGACATAATCCGAGTAAATGCATAGCAAATCATTCTGTGTGAATGAGAATTAGAACGCGTCATAAAGGAACAGAACTGGGGCAGACATACCCAACCGTCAGGGCTGACAACAGTGTCCCAAAGAAGGCGTAGGTCAATATGGCGCCAATATTTTCGAAAAAGTGTCGCTAGTGAACATGCGTTTCAAATAGAACAACAACCTACGCGCTTCATACTGTAACCGGCTGTGAATATGATTGGAGGAAGTAGGACATTGAAAAATATTTCCGGATTGAAAGTGGCTTTGTAATTGAATGGGACATCTGCGGATGATAGTTGTTCAAACCCGTATTGAAATGCCATATTGAATGTCACATTGGTGACCGGATCGCGAACCGGCATTCGGGCGATAATTTTTTCCGGTGGTAAACGGCTCTCACAGCTCGCATTGACCATACGTGGCAGGTCGTGATACTCGACAGACGGTGGGTTCGGTTTCATTCCGTACCGGAGTGCGATGCCCACAATCAAGCCTTAAAAATTGAATAAACGGGTGCATGGGTGGAAGAAAACTTACCGTAAATAACCGAAAGACCGGTCTCATGAAAGTATCGGAATCGTCGGTGCTTGAAAGTCCATATGGTAATGACTGAGAGCACAAGGAGAATCACATAAACCAATAGGATCAGACTGTCTCGTCGATGATCCAACGTGATCCGATCTTCCGTTTGCTGTTCGACAACCTTGATTTCGCCAATCAGGCAACTGTACGCATCCATTGAGTTCCAAAACGAGACAGTCCAGATGGATCCAGTTTTCGAAACAAAGTGGCGATTCCGGAGGGACAGAGACAGTCCGTGTGTGGGCGGACAAATAAGATAATTCTATTGGTTCCTCACAATATATTACCTGGGAGTAGGCTGAAATAATATGGAATAATTAAACAGACACGCTAATTTGGTGTTTCACATCACATATACATATATATGGTAATCTTCACGTATACCCCTGTGCTCAGTGTGTGTGAGGGAATAGGTTGCAGCTGAATGATGGGAATCACTCATCACATCGATTTACAAGAAAGGTGACAGATCCCCTTGTAAAAATCATAGAGGAATTAGTTTAATCAATATCGTCTCTAAACTTCTCGCTGGCGTCATATTCCGCCGATTGCCTGTTGCACGTGAACGGTGCACGCGTGAAAACCAGGCTGGCTTCATACCTGGTCGAGGTTGTATCGACCACATCTTCACTCTCCGCCAAATTCTGGAGCACCGGCATTCTCTTCGTAGACCCGCCAGCTCTGTATTCCTAGATCTGAAAGCGGCTTTCGACTCAGTCGACCGCGCTAAACTCTGGCGCTGCCTTTTTCTGAAACGTGTGCCCGAGAAGTTTATTCCAATATTACGATCGCTTTATTCTAATAGCCGAATTCGAATCCGGGCTTACGGCACTTTTCTCCCGAGGGTTGCCCTCTCTCTCCGCTTCTATTTAACTTTGTTATAGATCTGATTATGGAAACAGCCCTATCCTCGTGCGAGGATAGTGGCATCGATTTACTTCCAGGTGGCAGGCTCTGATCTGGAGTACGCAGACGACATTGTGCTACTAAGTGAAGATCCAGGTAAGTTGCAAGCTTTTCTGGAAAGTTTGAGTGCTAGTGTAGCCATGTTCGGTATGCGTTTTGCACCTTCTAAGTGTAAAATGTTGCTACAATACTGGGTTGGTCCAGCACCCAGCCTCACTCTTACTGGAAAAGTAATAGAGCAGGTGGATATGTTTTGCTATTTGGGCAGCTACATCTCACCCGTTGGACGCATCACGAACGAAGTGTCAGCTCGCATACAGAAGGCTCGGTTGGCATTTGCCAACTTGAGACATATGTGGCGCCGTCGCGACATCCGGCTTTTTGTGAAGGGTCGAGTATATGCTGCAGTAGTTCGACCAGTTCTGATGTATGGAGCAGAAACTTGGACATTAAGAAAACAGGAAAAAGATAGGCTGTCGGTGTTTGAATACAGCTGTCTACGCAGCATTGCACGAGTCTGGTGGGGTAGCCGGATGATCAATGCTGAGGTTAGGCGTAGAGTTTTGGATAAATAAGGNAAGGCTCGGTTGGCATTTGCCAACTTGAGACATATGTGGCGCCGTCGCGACATCCGGCTTTTTGTGAAGGGTCGAGTATATGCTGCAGTAATTCGGCCAGTTCTGATGTATGGAGCAGAAACTTGGCCACTAAAGCAACAGGATAAAAATTGATTGTCGGTATTCGAAAACCGCTGTCTACGTAGCATTGCACGAATCTGGTGGGGCAGTCAGGCGAGCAATGCTGAGGTCAGGCCTGGCAACCGCGGTCGCCCACTGGAGCAAGTGGTCGACCTCCATAGATTACGTTGGATGGGACGTGTTACGCATGTCACCAGGTAGGTTACCACGGTGAGCGACGTTCGCCGAAGCAGATACCGAGTGGAAAAAGTCAAGGGTGGTCAAGCTAACACCTGGCATGAGGGTATGAAAACCCTAACCAGGAGTCTGGGTCACACAGGTCCTGTTAGGCTCCCTGACTGGGGACCTCGGGATGGTCATACCCGATGGTTAGAGACACTGAGTGATATGGCTGGGTGTCGCAAACAGTGGCCTTCATGTATTTACTCAATTTCTCTGTATCATTAATCCACTGAACTTTTCAATTTTCTCTTCGATCCTACTTTCAACCTTTCCTGTCTTTCTCCTTATATCCATCCAAATGGGAAGCCGAAAGATAACAACCGAAACCGGCGCACTATAGTGCATGATTAATGACTTTACAAACTGAAACTGAATATTGAGATAAACTTCTCGGGTACACTCTTCATGGAAAGGCAGCGCCAGAGTTTAGAGCGGTCGATTGAGTGAAAAGCCGCCTTTAGATCGAGTAAGATGTAAATTGTGGGTCCACTAGGGAAGTTTCTGTTTTCTAGGACTTAACGAAGAGTGAAGATGTATGCGACAGCCCCGAACAGGTCTGGATCCGGCGTGGTTCTCATACGGGCATTTATTACGTGCAGCAGACAATCGACGGAGTATAATACCAGCGGGAAGTTTAAAGATGATGTCAATTAAACTAATTCCTTTGTGGCTTTCACAAGTTTCTGTCGGTTTACAGTCTTTACCTCAGAAACATCTGGTACAGTATTTGGTGAAACACTACCTCAAATCCTGTGAAACATTCTCCAACAAGATTTTATCCGATATTTCCCATCTTGCTTATTCCACCCTTAATCAGTGCCTTTCTCACTCATCCACCCGTTTCATTCACAAACTCATAAAGACACACTGAAGCTTACAGGCTGTCTAGTGTCCCTTATCTCGCCAGATTTTTAACAAACCATGAACTCGTTGCAGGAAATCTGCGCAAAATGCTAGACTAAATCAATAAGAAACACCTGGGTGTGCCACTGGTTTCTGCTGTACTGTCCATTATCACATATTTTAATTGTTGTATTATAATATTTTTTTAACTTTTTATTGACACACTGTGGTTAGGTGGTTGCTGAATATCCACCTTTCGAGGTGTACAAAGCGATTCCCTGACTTGACTTAAAGAGGATCTGCCGCCCTTCTTGTAAATCAGTATGATCACCGATTCACATCATTCAGTTAAAACCTGTTCGTTCTCCCACACCAAGACTGAACCTCAATCGTTAAAAAACGATGGGGACAGCCCGTCGGGGTCGGAGGCTTTTTGAGACAATTTATTTCTCCGGTAACCTACATTTCAGATGGAGGAATGATGTCAACTGGCAGTATTTGCACAGTTGAACCGGGTATGAGGAGGTCTTGTGCTGACGAGGGCCAGCTGAACTGAGCCTTAAAGTATTCTACCCATCGATCTAGACGGCGTTGCTGACTATGAATCAGTGTGTCGTCGGACTCCTTAATTACCTCACCTAAGCCTGCTCTCATTGGTCCTATACTCCTTATTAAGCGAAAAAGATTGCAATTATTACACTTTCCTACCCATCACTTCCCGCGATCATTCCTCAGGCTCTTGGTGAGCTGGCGTTTAAGGGATTTGCGCGCTTTGTCGTATTTCGAATCCGGAATGACTTTGCGAACGTCCAGCAAGGCAACCGAGGTCGGGAAGATCCATCGTTTTTTTTGTTTAATCGTACGCCAGAATGACGTATTAATTGATATTTGGATCGCTTCTTTGATTACATATATATATATATACAGATACGGCGCCAAAAATAACCATGGGTGAACGAAAAATATAGGTACAAAAACGGGGATAATAAAACAGTCAACTTCGGGGAGTAACAATTTTTGTTTGTTTACTGCACGCCATTTTGGGGTTTTTTCGTTTTTGTTTATTTTTGAGATTGCAAACAGGAAGGAATACATTCACGCCACTGACTTCGGTTCGATGCCATATCCCGCAGTGTCTCCAGCCAAAGACGATCTGAATCTTTGGGGCCCCAGCCAGGGAACAGAGAGAAACCCCAACGGAAGCCCGATCCGAGCACAATCTGATGAACCATCTGCGCCACGTCATCGCCTCGTTGTTTTTTCCAGCCTGGACCGACGTCTGCGAGTAGTGCACGGTGTGGCAGACGGGGCTCAGACATTCGTAGGCCGTGTCCTAGCCACCTAAGACGATGCTGTGAAATTATTTTGCCCAAAGGAAGACTATCTGGTCCCAGCACCCGTCGTCTGACTTCATCCTTATTCACACGGTGCTCCCACCATACACGGGCGATGTTGCGCAGACAGCGGTTGTCGAAGACTGATAGCCGCTGGACGTGATCTTCTCGGAGAGGCCAGGTCTCGCAGCCA